GACCTCAACTTTTCAACCTCGACCACGATGAAACCATTTGGGGAAGGTGTGAACATCTTGATAACTTTCATTGCAGCCCCCACAGACGACAACGGCAATGGTAGCACATCCCTTTGTCGCCGGCTTGGCGTGGCAAAAGATTCAACCTGAGTTGATGCCTCACGTGGCATGGAGAGTAGGAGCTGCATCACACTGATTCCCAATTGTAAAACACTCAGACCAGTAAATTCACTGTACAAAAAAGACACCTTCCTTTGAAAATCGTCCCATGAGTCACAACAAATTGCCATGAGCTCCCAAAGCTGTTGAAACATGACGTCCCCCTCGTCTGTACAGAGAGGACCCTTTTGGAAAAACTTTCCTGGGGATTTTCCCAGGGCTGCATCCTCAGGAGCCACCACTCCCGGGAGCATCTTCCTTTTATTCATGCGCCTTGCTTCCGACCCTTCAGGTGGTCGAACACCCTGTTCTTCCATGCTGCACGGCTCTCCCCAGGCAACCTGGGAACTTCGGTACGCGCCTTGGCCACTGGACCCTGCTTCTTCTTTGGCGCTGGATCTTCCGGACTTTTTGCCCTCATAGGAATCTCCTTCACCAGCTCCCCACCAATCTCGTCGTTGAACACTGCTTTTCTGATAGCTCCTTGGCGAGGACGTTGCAGAGGTGACCTCGAGCGCTCTCTTTTGACTTCTTCTTCTTTGGGGTGGCGCTGAGGGGGAGGACTTGTCAATCGTCTCTCCCCCCCGCCGAGTCCCTAGCACTTGCGCCCCTGGGCCTGGCGCAGCAAATCCTCAGACTTGGCCTCTTTCAAAGCCATCTCCCTTGCAAAGGCCGTCTCAGCAAGGTTCGATCCATAGCCGTACAACAGGTCATCAGGCAGGAGCTCGATCTGCGGCCCAAACTTGTCGCTGTTGTCTCGGACCTGCATGCATAGGGATTTGAACCTCTGTAAGAGGACGTCCCCACAGGAATCCGACTTGCCCTTGAGCAGCATGTCCACTGCCAAGGCGATTGTGCGCATTTCACGCAGCGACTGCCCTGGGAAGTTCTTCGGCCCAATGGCTGGGAGATAACCGTCAAGAGGTATCTGGTTACCACAGGGCTGAGCTTTGCCTCCTCTTCTTGGCAATCTCCAAAGCTTGCGCCCAGCTGCTCCTGCATATTCTCAAGGGCGCTCATCATCAACTTCCCAGGGGTGTTTTCGGCAATCTTCTTATATTTCTTCTTTCTTTCCTCCCAACCGCCACCACGGTCAGGGCTCGGGTCCGCACCCAGCACATCACTGGACTCCTCCGAGGACTCCCTTGAGTCATCCTTTGACTTGCGCTTACCTCTCATTGCCTTTGTAAGCTCCTTCAAGACCTTTCCAGAAGACGATTTCCTCTTCCTTTTCTTCTTGACACCAACGACTTCCGTGGCACGCTTAGCAAGGATGTTTCCCGGCCTCTTTGACCCACTTGCCTCGGCCTGTGTTTTTCCTCGAAGCTTCTGTCGTAGGGCGTCCAACTTGTCCTCCAATCCTCGCTTGGAAGAATCATCAGGTTCTTGGTCCAACATCGCATCCAAGGCAGTGCGGCCTCGGTCACCTTCTCCAGCCTTGAGTGCCCCACGACGAATCTTTTCCTCCTTCGTTCTAGGAGGGGTATCAACCTGATCTTCACTTTCATCAGGGGACCTACGGCGTCTTCTGGGCAACTCAGGTCGGGACTTTGACTTTGGAGTGGCCCCCACATGCTCGGCATCCTCTTCCTCATCATCATCGTCTTCATCTTTTGCCCCCCGCGGTCCCTCATCACCAGCACGTTCACTGGCTGGGACGGCTAATCCTGGGAACCCCCAAGAAACGAGGAGCTGGTGGGCTTCTTGACGTTCAACAGGGGCCCAACGTCGTACATGTATGACCTCTCCAGCATTGACTTTGGCTTTGCACTGTTTGGCATCTACCTTGCAAAAGTGGTGCAAGGCTCCTTCAGGCAGACCCCCAGCACGCCCCTCATTCTCGATGTACCACTGGTAGTGCTCGTTGTTGCATCCAAGGTATCGCAACCTAATGAAGGCACCCCCTTCATCAGGAAGGAATCTTCCTTTGGCCTCTGCAATTGCCTGTCCTATTCCTTTGTATTTGTCGTCACACACTTCGATCAGGTAGTGGTTCACTGCTGCGTAGTACACCGACTGAAAGGTGACACCTGAGACATGCACCCCGTCCACCAATTTGATGCCCGTTCCTTCTTTGTCCTTTCGTCTTCTGGACATTCTTTCTCTTGCACAGCCCAACCCCTGCCACCACAGGGGATTTACAGGCTGCCTCTGTCTCTTTCCGCTTTCTGCCCCAGCCAACACTGGGGAAGCTGAGCTCTTCACTCTTGAGAGAGAACAGCTACAGAAGGAAGACGGCATGTCCAAAACTCAGTCATGACATGCAACCAGCTTCCCCTTACATGAATTCCAGGGTCCACATATATCCATGGCCCTATCCCATCCCATTCTGCTGGTACATGTGTCGCCTCACTTGGTGGTTTACTCCACTTACTACGTCCGGGTAGTCCGGGTAGGTTCCCCAATTCTACTTGGATGTTCAGGGTCCAACTGGTTTCGTGAAAATTTCGAGGAGGCTATATTTCCACAAACACTGAGATAATAGATGATAATCGTATATTTAAGTATATTTACCCTCTGGTAATTTATCTTAGTTATTGAAAGTAACCCATTCATAGTTGATTTACCTATGAAAGCTGGTGATTTTCCATAGTTTTTCTATGTTTGCCAGAGTGTATTTTTCATATTAGCCCTATATGTATCCCAATTTCTGATTGGGTTTGTTATAGTTATCCTCTAACTATCCTTTAATTATCCCACACCCAATGGGGATTGACCTTGGTTACTAACCAGTCACTGGAACGATCCTCCAAGTACAGGAAGGGGGCCCCGCTTCGGAAATTTGTTCTTGGAAACCAACTGGTAGCCGATGGTCTAAGTTTGGCTTTAAGGCGAATATATATATATATATATATATACGGTGTAAATATATATATATGTATATATATAGATATAGATATATGTCTATTTATATATATATATATATGTCTATATATATAAATATATATAGATATATATATATATAGATGTATATATATACATATATATGTCTATATATACATATATATATGCATTTACTATGTATATATATATATATTATACATATATATTATATATATATGTTGATTTGAGCTGATCCACGTGAGCTCTTGCATGTGCCGTCCAAACATTCCATCCCCGCAGGGACTCTTTTGCCTCGAAGGAAAAAGGCGCCCGAACGTGACGGCATTGGAATGCCGCTTGGTGTTTGTGTTTGCGACCCTCTGCGACCAGTTTTAATATATATATATATATATCATATTTATAATATAACAATACATATATATATATATACATGTTACACATAATATGTCATTCAATATATATATATATATACACACATCGAACTGATTAGATGGGGGCCAGAAAATAAATGTAATTCCTGCATGGTGTTTCCTATGAACAATGGGGCCCTCCTGTAGATGTTCCCTTTGTTCCATTCTTGGATGGCTGTTGGTTTTCAACTCTGACAGAAATGGATGTCCATTGGGCCATTGTCTTCCAGGTCACTGTTCATCAAAGAATAATTCTGTAGGGATCTATAACTGATGAGTCATGGATGGTATCTTGGCCCATACAACCCTACATCATCCCGAACAGAATCCTCAGTTCCTATGACCTGACCAATCGGGCTTTCTTGACGCTGGGGAGACCCGCGAACAACGTCTGAAAGTTTCGGGACAAGGAAGCTAAGGTAATCGAATGTCTTCATAGATGGGTTTGTCTGAAAATAGTGTATATTCCCAATTATAGCCATTTAATAGGGATAATGATCATTAACCATTGGGTTTAGGGCTACACTATTTTCAGACACACCTAGATGTTTTTTCAAACGCCAAGAGAGAACTTCTGTCTCCGAAAAATAACGCATCCAAAGTAGCCATCCTGCTTTCCCTCTGTTCCACTTTAGAAAGCCATATCCATGTTGAAAAACCTTAGAATGCTTTGGGATCCCCAAATGCTTGAATCCCTTACCAAACCCATATTTTTTTTTAAAAATGCACTTTTTTCAAGGGGGTAGCCCATGAGTGAGTGACCCAGATGCTCAATAATATAATTGGTTGATATTGTTTGGATAGCACTCTATTGAGCAAAGAGATTTCGGGTAAAAATTCAAAACCTTTTATCCACCTTTCTTTTGATAAAGCTGTTCCATTTACTTTAGAAAGCAATTTGATATGAATCGAAATCCTTACTTATCTTTGATTTCTTTTAGGGTAAAAGGAGAAAGAAATTGAAAGTATACAGATTGATATGAATTGAAATCCTTACTTATCCTTAGATTTCTTTGAGGGCAAAAAAAAGAATTGAACTTGGCTTGATATGACTTGCAATCCTTACTTATCATTTGGGTTCTTTGAGACTCTAAAGGAAAATGAATTGAACGTATATAGATGGAAATGAATTGAAATCCTTACTTATCCTTAGATTTCAGTTAGGTTATAGAGGAAAATCAATTGAAAGTAGATTGGCATCAATTGAAATCTTTCCTTAAGTTGATCATCCTGAATTTCCCAGACCTGGTGCAAAGAAAATTTTGAATAATAGACAATTGTTTGAGGGGGGGCCCTACACTAATCAGCATCCAACATGACTATCTATCATAGCGCATAACCTTTGCAATCATAATCATAGTATAGCTTTAAGAAAACGACTATATAATACAAATACTAATACACTTATTGTGTCATATTCTAAATGGTGAATGGGGGTTATATATAAGTTATAAACCATTTCTTCAAAATTCCTCATCTCTATTTACTTGTCATATATATATAAATAAGTTTCAATCGGTCTACGGAAAAGGTGACCATCCAGTGATAAAAAATGCCATGCCGCAATGGTTTGGAAGTCCCAGCGGCTGGTCATAGGACAAGGTGAATAGAAACGACTCCTTGGGAGCCGCAGCAAGAAATCCCCGCACGATTCGTGATACGATTCGTGAAGGTTGCTGGGGAAATCAACTGAAATCAACTTATAAACATTGCCGGACATTGCCAATCTTAGATACCCAAAAAGTGAAAAATTCTTTGCTGGTTGACATTTCTATTGAAATCGCAAAAGATTAAAGGATCAAAGTACCCATCCAAGCTTAACCTAGTAAATTGGAGATGTGTTAATTGCCATGTTTGATCACCAAATGGTAAATATTCATGAAAAATCCTGGGATAATAACTGGAATATAGTGGACGATAGCTGGCTTAGACTGGGATGTAGTGAATTACGGCGATTTTTGATATTAAACCCATCCCCGGTTCATTTTGAACACCCCGGCTGTATGGTCCAATAAGATATGTGACTTCATCCACAACAAAACATGGTCTGAAATGGGTGGTGTGGAAAAAATGAATGGGGGAACGGATTACTAAGTTGCTGATATATCAGTTGACATATGTTATGGTAGATAGATACATCTATAAACAACCTACCCTCCGGTGTCATCATCAGCTCCGTGGCAGTGAAATCCCTGAACCGGACAGTGAACACTGGGAAGATATGACAAAAACATCTATAAATGGGGTAAGTTGCTACTAATCATTATATACCAATAATAGTGGTTATAATACCAATAATAGTGGTTATATATGGTTATATGATGGGATATATATACTAATATACATTACTGGTTGGTGGTTGAGCCACCTACCCCTCTGAAGAATGATGGAGTGAGTAACAGTTGGGATGATGAAATTCCCAATATATGGGAAAATAATCCAAATGTTCCAAAACGCCAACCAGATTATATCAGTGCAGATATTGTGGCACAAACCTCCAAGATATCCCAAGAAATCGATTCTTTGGTGCAGCGCACCATCTGTGAGATTGGACCAGCAGTGTATGCTGCCCGGACTGGCCGTTTGTGAAAACCTGTGTTCCCTCCGTTGTTAGTGAGTTTCAAAAAAAGAACGGTATTTGGCTGCCCTGAAGGTAATCAAACATGGCTTGCCAGAAAATCCCCCATAAAAATAGATTTATATATAGAGTATTATAGATTATTTTCCCAGCTAGAAATCTCATGAAATCTCCACTTCCGGGGGGGATTTGCCAGCCATGTTTGATGACACCAGAGGGTATCTTAAACATAGAAATCTCTCGCATTTTGGCATCGGAATCATCTGAAATCATCTGATTCGAAAGGGCTCAGTAGACTCAGTAGAGGCAGGAGGAAAGTTCAAGCAGACAAGCCGCTTACAAGAAGCATTCTCAACTCATAAGTTATTTTTACCCTTTGGTAATTTGTTACATGGTCCATTTATACATGATTTACCTATTCAAAAGTGGTGCAAATCTCAGTAGCCATCCATCTCAGTAGCCATGACAGGTTCAAAAGTGGTGGTTGAAACCCCGCAAATTGGCCATCAAATTACCCTCTGGCAAGCAAACGTGGCTAGCTGGAAAATCATTTATAGATATTATACCCTCTGGTAAACAAACATAGCTATTGAAAATTGCCATTTATGGCCATTTATAGTTGATTTACCCATCAAAAGTGGTGATTTTCAATAGTTATGTTAGTTTACCAGAGGGTAAATGAATATAAATGATGTTTTTTCATGGGCAAATCATCTAGAAATGGTGGAATATCAGCCTGGCTACGTTTCAAAAAACGGATGGTTCTTGGGGAAAATCTTCGGGATCCACTAGAATCCCCATCTTACCAAGCTTCCATAGGCACGGCCACAATCTTTGAGACACCCAGCTCATGAGCTTTCACCTGAACGTTGAAACACGTTGAAACTCATGGACGACTTTTGCGAAAAAAAAAACGGTGATTGGATGATTTTTTTGGATTGGACGACAAAGCCACGGTTTAGGCGCGGAGCCGGGGTTGGGAGGCAAGAAGGTCCCTCATACACCGTAGATGATGCTACACCCTATCTTTTCCTCGATTTTTTAACATCATTAATGCTACGCTCTAAGATCTTCCCTTCAACTTTCCAAAAATTGATGCTACGTTTAAGACCTTGTGGTCATACTTGTGGCGTGGATACTGGAGAAGGAAGGGTTCAAGGTAACCTGTTCCAGAAACTTGGAAAACTCTGTAAAGAAACTCGCTGGCCACCAAAGAAAGAAATGGCCGGAAGAGGATACATAGACAAATTCACTGACCCCCGCCGTGTTTTCGCAACAACACAGCCATTCTTCCACGGCCTTACAGTACATTTTGTTGGCATGAAACGCAAAAAATATAGTTCCAGACTTCAGAAACACACTAACTGGTTGCATATTTGAATTCACCAGATCAAGGATTGTTCTGATTTCGTGAGTCACAACAGTCCTTCGCTCCTACGGGTGACGTGACCTGACTTGAAGCGTCAAGAAATTGAGACTTAAGTAGAAAAGGCAACTTAATATAAGGATTTAACATGATTTAACATGATTTAACATGATTCAACTATGAAAAATGGGTGGAAATGCCAGTTGGGGGGAGTCATATTCTTCCAGGACTGGCCACTCGATCTGATCATCCTCCACGGAGCTGTGGGACACGAAAAACCAGGCCTTCCAAAGAAGTTCAAAAAGTTTGTCAAAGGCATTCACCTGCCGTTTGTGAAGAACACAGAAATTGGATCAAATTGGGCTCATTTCAGGCTAGTCTACTAGTCTGGAAAGCTTTTTGATGGAACCAAACAAGTGTCTGTGGAATCTGTGGATCATGATGTTTTGACAGAGGTGGCGATGGACCCTGCAAAATCCAACTTGTCAACCTCCCAAGTTCCGCCCCATACCCCACAGTTGATATCCCTATCCACACAGCCACATGTACCCGACACTGCCTGCAGCCTTTAAAAAGCCCTTGCCTGTGATAGGTCGCATCGCTTGAAAATATGTACATAGCCTTCCGAATCCTTGGCTGGCGATGAGGAGGTGAAGTATCAACGATATCTCTATGTGGTGTCAAGGGTTTCAAATCCAGAAATAGAAAATAGATGAAAATAGTGACTCCCGGATACTCCAGGTATAACTTCTTGCTGAGTTATCTTCGTATATTGGGGGATTCTTTTCGGAGAAGGTCACCGAAACTGAGGCTTGAATCGCCATGAATTGAACCGAGAAAATCCATGAAAATCCCATGGGATTTTCACAGAATCAAAATGGATTTTGTCAGATAACCTTTCGGGGTTGGAACATGGAGATGTGATCGAAAAGAAAAGACTACTTTCATAAACAAACCCAGATCTTCCATCAATATAGATATTTTGTCAACAATTACAGCACCCAAAACGTGACCCAAATTTTAAAGTTGAGTAACCTTGAAAAAAAAATACAAAAAAAATAATAATCCTACTCAAATAGTGATCAACGGCTTTTCAGCATCTTTTTGGGGGTTGCCATAGGTGCTATGTCTCGACGGGACTTTGCCAGCAAGGAGGAGACTTTGCCTACAGATCAAAAAAACTGAGTAGGAACAGCTGTAAACAACTAGAAACGGGGAATTTGGCATAATCTAACTGCATTCGTAGCACTTGCAACACAAACTGAGGATCTAAACCTTTCTTTCTCCAACTCCTACGTAATTGTGCAGAGCGAGGACAGGGTTCAAGACGACCGCTTAGGGCTTAGGGTTGTTTCGACTATGCACGAAAGACATGCACTCAATCCGCAGCAGTCAAACGCCGACAGCAGGATGGCAAGCACAGCCGTTTTCCCCCCCTTATGGCAACCGTTGACCTACAATAGCTTCGAGCAAGCGAGCAACTTTGACTATGGTTGACAAAGTCCCCATAGATCCTGGAGTTTTTTGCTTAAATCCCCATACATCCCTATCTTTGATGGTTAGGTCCAGATTTCAGTTGATGATTTGCAAAAGCTTTTGACGCTGCTCTGTCAAGCAGCTCCTGCAAAGGCCAAAGGCGTCTCTCCCTCCCGCGTCGAAATAGACCTGGGGCTGTTTCCCCTGAGAAGAGGCGGCTTCCATGGGGATTTGCCGGGGACTTTAAGAGTGATACTGAGGATATTGGGATATCTAACCAACTGAAGTATATTTATGATACTTCATCAGATATCAATGCAACATGTGTATCTGTATATATGAATATATATAATTATGGATATTCATGGATATTCATTGCTAGACCTACCTGGTGATCATTTCGCTTTGGTAGATGAAGATATCATAAGATGTTTAAAGCAAAAGTACATGAAACATAGATACATAAATGATACATAGTCCCATAGTGCATATACTCCCTGTATCTATGGAATACTCGCCATCAACTATGAAACAGCCAGTTCTCGAGCAACAGAAAGGGTGGTGGATTTCAGTGAATGGAAATAGTGGAGATGCAAACAGCCAAAGTGGCATGGAGCAAGCAAAAGGGGGGTGCAACCAACACTAGTGGATGTCCAAGCAAGACAAAATGCGGAGATCATCAACGAACATAGATTCTGTAAGCCAACAAAGAAAATTTTTGAGTACACTCAAAAAACATGCTCAAATGGTTCATGATTGACGAAAACGGTAAATCACCCACAACCTCAGGTACTATGTTCAAACTTCAGCGGGTTGAAACCTGCCTCAAGCATCACAAAAGTTGGCAGAAGAAAACGTCAGGATCATATTTCTGCGGGGAAGAAACCCTTTATATCCCTTGATAAATTTGTCATCGTTCATCCTAGCTAGATCCAACACTGAAATAAAGCATTCTGGAGTTTGTATATCTGTATATCTCCATATGCGATCTATTCTTTGTTTGGATTTCATTAAGATCGCCACAGTAAAACATCATCTCTATACGTAGAGTTGCCAAATGCTGGATGTCCCTGGTAGTGAAATTTGCCCAACCTTCAGCAATCATCCCAGGTAGTGTCTGCCCCTGGTCATCCCTTGACAATCCTTCAAGGAAGACAAAATCCCAACGTTTCAGCATGGCAGATATGGCTGTGTCTGAAAAAGAGTGCAACTTCCATGGCATAACTTCCTGACTCCTTAGGCAGATCTTAGCAGGGGAAAATGATGAAGCAGGGTATATCCATGTTCAGGCAGAACCATATATCTGTTGGCTAGTACTGTCCCATTGGTAGCCTATTAATACCGCGCGTGATATCCAATCACATATCCCCGTACAATCCAAAAAAAGGTATCAACCATCATCAACCAACACTGATAGTGTCTTCATTTTTTATCCCCATAAAAACATATAAAATCACCATTCAGTCAACTTATGTCAACTTTAAATCCCACTAGTTATCACCATTGAATCCTACTCACCCATCAACTCAGCCCAAGGTGCAAGAACCAGGTCTCCTTGTGGGCTGTCTATTTTCCCGGGGACCCGCCATAGATCCAGTACTGACCCATTAGTGAGTTCAGGCCAGGCCGGGTATGCTAATATAGGAGGAGGACATCCCCATGTTGCATGGTTCACCTTGAAAGGATGATTAAGTAAGTCAAATCCGACTTTGGGTTGGTTTGGAGTTAATTCTAAATCCTAAAAGACCCTTTTTTCCTCAAACTATATCCCCATATATCCCCGTCTTACAAGGTGGTGCTCCATACATAGCTAAGTTGGCGCAAACAACTCCAATAACTGTTGGGTTTGTGGTAGATATCCCGGACTAGTTGCTATTGTAAACATCAACCAACAAACATGTCACTCTGGGGCCACCAGCTTGTATTATGAACCAGGGTGTCCTTGGGGGTTTCTTAAGTCATGGGGGATCCCCAGTCGTCACCTTATGTTAAGCTATACAAGTCGTCATGGCCATCCATGACTTGTTTCGGATTTGGATTTGGGGCTACCCCCGATTGGAAACCTCCAAGTGCTGCTGAACTGGGTGTTTCCAGAGTCTTGGGAAATCCCCATGGAAAATCGCTGGAAATCCCATGGTTTATGGGAAATCCCATGTGAAATCATGGATGCCACCCAGGAGTACCTGACAAAAAAGGCCCTGCCCAGTGCTGGAATGGCCTGGGATGACCAGCAGTCCTTGCTCTTGCTGCTGCCCCCGGTTTCAAGGCGTTGTCGCACCGCGTAGGATGGGAAGCGCAGCAGCCGAGCCGGACTCCTGGGAAGGGAAGGTCCTGCCACCCATACCAGGTGGTAGATATATGGGTGAAGATGCTACCAGGGTAGGGTCAACAGATATAAATATACAATTGTGCATGTGTGTGCATGTGTGTGTATGTGATAGCGTTTCGATTCAGATATGTATAGATATAGATATATATATATATAACATGTTCCTGCCCAACCTACCAAGACTGTTAAGGTGTAGTGGGAAGTGTCTTGTAGATATGCACAGATATGTGATGCGATAATCTGGATTCATGGTACTGGAAAGGATACCAGTAGCAGAAATGGTAACATCACCAACAAAAATAGATGAGTCCACAGGAGGTTATCATCATGTTCCAAAGCTATGCCAGAGCACTTTTTATCTTAGTTTCACGTCAGAAAAAAACATAGAAGAAAAGGAAGGGTAAGGAACAATATAGAAGAAAAGGGAAGACAAGGGAAGAGGATAAGATCGGAAAAGAGACAAGGGCACTCCAGGTTCCCTGCAGGTCAGAAACATATGGCTACAGTGGGGAAAACAACAGATAGAATGCCTCCCCGGAAACTACAGCAGATATAGATCAATGAAAAAGACATAGAAGAAAAGGAAAAGTAAGGAACAATAAAGAAGAAAAGGAAGAGAAAAAGGAAGAAGATAAGATCGGAAAAGAGACAAGGGCACTCCAGGTTCCTTGCGGGTCAGAAACATATGGCTACGCGGCTACTGTGGGGAAAACAACAGATAGAATGCCTCCCCGGAAACTACAGCAGATATAGATCAATGAAAAAGACTCGGAAGAAGAGAAAGCGTAAGGAACAATATAGAAGAAAAGGAGGAGAAAAGGGAAGAGGATAAGATCGGAAAAGAGACAAGGGCACTCCAGGTTCCCTGCGGGTCAGAAACATATGGCTACAGTGGGGAAAACAACAGGTAGAATGCCTCCCCGGAAGCTACAGCAGATATAGATCAATGAAAAAGACATAGAAGAAAAGGAAGGGTAAGGAACAATATAGAAGAAAAGGAGGAGAAAAGGGAAGAGGATAAGGTCGGAAAAGAGACAAGGGCACTCCAGGTTCCCTGCAGGTCAGAAACATATGGCTACAGTGGGGAAAACAACAGATAGAATGCCTCCCCGGAAACTACAGCAGATATAGATCAATGAAAAAGACATAGAAGAAAAGGAAAAGTAAGGAACAATAAAGAAGAAAAGGAAGAGAAAAAGGAAGAAGATAAGATCGGAAAAGAGACAAGGGCACTCCAGGTTCCTTGCGGGTCAGAAACATATGGCTACGCGGCTACTGTGGGGAAAACAACAGATAGAATGCCTCCCGGAAACTACAGCCGAATAGATCAATGAACAAGACATAGAAGAAAAGGATGGGTGAGGAACAATATAGAAGAAAAGGAGGAGAAAAGGGAAGAGGATAAGGTCGGAAAAGAGACAAGGGCACTCCAGGTTTCCTGCAAGTCAGAAACATATGGCTACAGTGGGGAAAACAACTGATAGAATGCCTCCCCGGAAACTACACTCATCATTATCCTGCAGAAAATGTGGCTATAGTGGGGGAAAAACAACAGATAGAATGCCGCCCGGAAACTACAGCACGTATATATAGATCAATGAATACAGACATAGAAGAAAAGGAAGGGACAGGAACATGCTAGAAACAAAGGAAAAGGAAAGGGCACTCCAGGTTCCCCTGCGGGTCACAAACACGTGACTACAGTGGGGAAAAACCATAGATAGAATGCCTACGGAAACTGCCGCAAATATTGACCAATGAACAAATAAAAAGAAGAAAAGGAAGGGAAAGGAACATTATAGAAACAAAAGGACAAGGAAAGGGAAGCGGATAAGATCGGAAAAGAGACAAGGGCACTCCAGGTTCCCTGCAGGGCAGAAACATGTGGCTACAGTGGGGAAAACAACAGATAGAATGCCCCCCGGAAACTACAGCAGATATAGATCAATGAAAAAGACATAGAAAAAAGTAAGTCTGACTGAAGGTTCCACTGAAAATGTTATAGCGCGTTTGTTTATTACTTGCTTTCCCATTCGCCAAAAAAGTACAAACCATGGACGGGAGGCATTCTAACTGCATTTCGCCTGTAAAATACCAGTCAAAACTTACATTTTCTCACCAATTTGTGCGCCGCATTCTAACTGTGTTTCTGCATATTTACAGGTGTTTCTTCAGTTAGAATGCGCCCGCCGTGGGGGGTGGGGCCAAACGGGCCACCATCACGCGAAGCCAAAACCGCATTCTAACTTTGACTTTAACGGTATATATGTATATATATATATGTATGTATATGTATGTAATGTATGTATGTATGTATGTATGTATGTATGTATGTATGTATGTATGTATGTATGTATGTATGTATGTATGTATGTATGTATGTATGTATGTATGTATGTATGTATGTATGTATGTATGTATGTATGGTATGTATGTATGTTGTAGTATGTGTATGTATGTGTGTATGTAGTGTATGTATGTGTATGTAATGTATATGTATGGGATATTGTGTATGTATGTGTTAGTATGTGTATGTATGTGTATGTATGTGTTGTATGGTGATGTATGTATGGTATGTATGTAGATGTATGTATGGAGGTGTGTATGTATGTGTGTATGTATGGTGTATGTAGTGTGTATGTATGTGTGTATGTATTTGTGTATGTATGTGTGTATGTATGTGTGTATGATGGTGGTAGGTATGTGTGTATGTATGTGTATGTATGTGTATGTATGTGTATGTATGTGTATGTATGTGTATGTATGTGTATGTATGTGTATGTATGTGTATGTATGTGTATGTATGTGTATGTATGTGTATGTATGTGTATGTATGTGTATGTAGGTGTATGTATGTGTATGTATGTGTATGTATGTGTATGTATGTGTATGTATGTGTATGTATGTGTATGTATGTGTATGTATGTGTATGTATGTGTATGTAGGTGTATGTATGTGTATGTATGTGTATGTATGTGTATGTATGTGTATGTACGTGTATGTACGTGTATGTACGTGTATGTACGTGTTTGTACGTGTATGTACGTGTATGTACGTGTATATACGTGTATGTACGTGTATGTACGTGTATGTACGTGTATGTACGTGTATGTACGTGTATGTATGTGTATGTATTTGTTGTATGTATGGTGTATGTATGTGTATGTATGTGTATGTATGTGTATGTATGTGTATGTATATGTATGTGTATTCATGTGTGTGTATGTGTATGTATGTGTATGTATGTGTATGTATGTGTATGTATGTGTATGTATGTGTATGTATGTGTATGTATGTGTATGTATGTGTATGTATGTGTATGTATGTGTATGTATGTGTAGGTATGTGTATGTATGTGTATGTATGTGTATGTATGTGTATGTATGTGTATGTATGTGTATGTATGTGTATGTATGTGTATGTATGTGTATGTATGTGTATGTATGTGATGTAGTGTATGTAGTGTATGTAGTGTATGTAGTGTATGTAGTGTATGTAGTGTATGTAGTGTATGTAGTGTATGTAGTGTATGTATGTATGTATGTATGTATGTATGTATGTATGTATGTATGTATGTATGTATGTATGTATGTATGTATGTATGTATGTATGTATGTAATGTATATGGGTGAATTATCATATTTCACTAACCTGAATAGTTCGGCCGACTATTGGGTTGATTTCCCGAATCCTAACCATGATTCCAGGCTCCGGGAGAACAGTGAGGTCGCGTTTATCAATAATTATACCATATTGATGCTGGGAATGATCAAACACCAATCAACATAGGACATAGGGGATGGTCCTCCAACTAACCTATTGATACTGGGGATATTTGTTTCTCGTTCCAAACATCAATGGATTGATGACCATCCACTTGGTTGGACTGGTTTTGTGCTACCCATCCACTTGGTGGCCGGAATCCCATACGAGTTTACTGCGTGCCGCGAAACACCCCGTGCCGTAAAAATTGCTTTGAATCTCAGATGTTGCTTCAATGCCCAAAAATATGGGATTTCGGTAGAAGTAAATATCCAATATTTGGGATAAATTTAGTGTTCACGAAATCCCAATTATCCCAATATCTATTGGTGAAGTCTCGGTACAGTATTCCGCCCAGCGACGAATCGCGCCACACGAAGAGAAAACCATCGGTGGAGGAACTGAGGCGAATGGCTGGGGGCCCTAAGAGATGGACGTTGACGAAAGGGTTGCTGCTTGAACTGGCTTTAATTTGCAAAGGGTTATTGTCATGGAAAAGTGGGAAAATGCGTTTTTGGAAATTGCTTTAGTAGTTGGATATGTGTGTATATAAATAAACATATATATATATATTATATATATAATTATATATAAATACAATTATATATACTGTATATAAAGCGGGTGTCTGAAAATTGTGGATTGACCGATTAACCTCGGCCTCCAATTTGTGGCTAGCTTCATCAGAAAATGACTACTGGAGGGGTACCAGAACTTCAGAGCGGCAAAATGGTGGCTTGTTGTGCTTCTTGATCGAGACGCCTATGTAGGTCAGGTACAATAGGATTCACTTTCGCAGTTGAAAAATCATGTGCGATAATATGCATAATTCCATAGACAAGCAGACAACTAATGTAAATTGTAAGGTACCTGAATTAGAATTAGAAATCATCACATGCCTTCGGACATCATTTATGCACACAACATCACCAAATTGAACAAATCTATCACAAACTAGACGGAGCCACAGAAAATCAAAACACCTACAGTAACAAGTGAGAAATCGTGTCTAAACATAGAAAATTAATGGTCATATGGTCATCCATCCCATTTCATGGACATCAAAAAAAAAACATGGGACTTTCATGGAAATCCTTATGGATTGATCTCCCAAGGAATGGCTATGACTTGAATCAGCCACGACCTAACCTGACCTGAAAAAAACATCCATCAGCGGTTTTAATGGTTTAAGATGGCTAATCCCAACATGGTTAAGATGGTTAGCCTATGTTAGCCTAATGCTTTTCATGTTTTATCAGACATGGCTGAATCCAACTCGCTTTAACCGTAAGCCTCCATGGTTTTTGATGCTTCCCAGCGCTTCATTCCCAAACCACCGCTGCACAGCTCCGCCTGAGCAGAAGGTCCAAGCCATAGTCCAACGCGATCACCGTCCCCCCGTGGCCGTACAAACTGTGTACCTGGCGGCAGTCAGAATTCTGTAGATTCTGCGATCAGATGCTGTCAGAAAAACCTGATCTGAAGATTGACAGTCTATTGGTAGAAAAGTCATGCTGTCGGAGAAAATTGACAAAAAAGTTCCAAACAGTGGGAGAAAAAATGTTCAGTGTCAACCTGGAGATTGACAGATTGACAGTCAATTGACAGTCATCTCCAGGTTCAACTCCTTGGTGTTCGAATCCGGGATACCCGAGACGGTAGCCTCCATACGTAAATCATACACAAATGGTGCATCTTCCATTGCTATGTCAAGAAAGATGTCAACATTTCCTGGTTGGTGGTTTTAACAATCTTGAAAAATATGAGTTCATCAATGGGAAGGATGACATCCTATATATTATGCAAAAAAAAATGTTTGAAACCACCAACCAGTTTCCATTGTTCCAACTTGTGTGTTACCCTCGGGTAAACTGACAGTTTGCGAAGTGGAAGCCATGGCCCACTTAGTTGGATGATTTTCCATGGCAAACTGCTGGTTTACTGAAGGCTAGGTCTTCCGAAACTTTCAATATCCCATTCTTGTTGGTTATGTGTATACTATTATATTATATATATAAATATATAATCCCATCACACTAATATTAAACACCCAATTGCATGGTTCCCAAAAAAATTTGGTGTTTTTGCCTACATCCACCATGGTTTCGTTGAACGGGGGTGTTTAATATAAGAACGGGGGAAGGGATGATTATAGTATACCCGGGAGACTTCGTTATATCTGGGCGGATTTCCACCATCCTGGAGGATCCCTCCCATTTCAACACACCATTTCACCCAGAAACGCAGGGGATGTTGATCCGCGGATCCGACAAGTCCCACCTTGGCCAGGACAATGGGGCGAGCGGGAGGAGAGGCGAACCGGCCCCTTTTTGGTTTTTGATGTCATGAAATCACCCAAGAGTCTTAGGCCAATATATACATATATATAATCTAATATAATATAATATATATATATTATAATATATATACAGATATTATATATATATACAGATATTATATATATATACAGATATATTATATATATAATTATATATATATGGGGAAATTCTCATATTTCACTAACCTGAATAGTTCGGGCAACTATTGGGATGATTTCCCTAAAATAAACCATGATTCCAGTGAAATAGAGGTAACCTGATTTTGGGAAACCCCTAAATCCTGTGGACTTCGGGGTAGCTAATTTTCAGATCCTTTTTTAAGCGTTGAAATATAATGAAAATTGATTCACTCACCTGAATTCTTTGGCTATTGTGGCAAAATGTCCCTTCTTAACCACCATTACATTGAGGTCGTTATCATTTGCCCAGATACATGGATGTTTTGTTTGCTGGGAAAATTATCGACTAGATGTATTAGTGGGAAAATCATCGAACTAAATGGAGGTTGAAAGATGGGAACATCATCGAACGAAATGATGATTTTCATGGTGGATTTTCCATGTTTGATTAGAGGGTAGATGATGAATCCCTACATGGCCAGGTTCCAGAGCTATTTTTAGATTAGCAAAGGGTAGCTGACATCTGACTCCTCTCTTTCCAGACCCACCTCTCGCAGCAATGATGCCCAAAGGTCAACCATTACAAGGTGGTGCCCCAGTGAGCGATTCATCGCTAAGTTGGTGTAAATAAATCCAATAACTATGGTTGATGGTAGATATATCTATACTATTCCTATGGTTTATAAACCAACTTATAGCTAAGGGGGCACCACCTTGTAGGGACATTGATTAGCCCATGTTTTCTGCACGTTTGGCGAGGGCGGTGTTATTCCCCACGGACCCCGCCGCCTGGCAGTTTACCATGGCAGGATGTATGCAGTATTGGGATTCACATTGGCCTCTAATTAGCAACAACAGTGGTCACATTTAATTCAACAAACATTGGTAATTGGGGGGGCAATCATCGTCATCAACTCAACAACGATGAGTATTGGGAGATTTCCTAAGTCATGGGGGTACCCCCAAATCATCCATTTTTTTCATGGGTTTTCTATGCAAGGAACCATCCATCTTGGGGTACCCCCATTTAGGAACCCCCCTTTTCGACGATGAGTAATCTCTTCCCCCCAATATTAAACACCCCCTATAGAAACTATGGTTGACTATGGTTTAGTAAGGAAATTCCACATAATTGGGGACCTGGGACAACCCCTATCCACTGACAGATCTGCCGTCGCGCCACATCTTGATACATCGGTCCTCAGCGCGCTTTAGGGATCAGGGCGGGCGGTCACTCTTTGTATCCTGACATCAAGCTTTTAAGGCCACAAAAATGGTGATGAACATGGTCAATCTGTGATATGGTTTGCTCGTGATTTTCCATGTGGAGGTAACCAAAAAAATGGGGGTACTCCCAAACCATTGGTTTCAATACTAAAATGGTACACTTTGGGCTGATTTGGGGTGCCCCTATTTTAGGAAACCCCTATGTATTTAGCAAACAAAGCAAGGATTAAACTACTCATCCAGTCGGCTGGTGATATGTAGAAACGGAAGGCCGGGGAGTTTTTCGCTTACCAGAGGGTAACCAAAACAAAGGTGGGAATTGGACCGAATAAATTTGGAGAATGACTTGCCCTATCAGACATTGATGAAGTTATATATATTGTCCATACCTGGGAGTTGCCAATTGGGATTCTGACGATGGGGTCACACTTACTTTGTGAAGCGGGGGCCCGTTGTACCTATGTCATTTTCCTTTTGAGATAACGGGCACTTGGAAGGTTAGGGAATGGCGGGATCCCGCCACATACTCCAGATTTTTCTTGCGATCATTTTGGCATGAGGCTGGACATTACCTGGCAATATCATTGGCCAAAATTTCATCATCGGCCGAGATGAAGGTGGATTTCACTTGGCTTAGCCGGCTGTGTCTTGTGAGAAATTGAAGACCTACAAAATTGATGAAAATTGGAAAAGCTTCACCAAAGCCTCCAAATCAGCAGACAAATTCTTACTTGGAGGATCATCCAAATCAGTTTTTCTGGTTGGCATTGCCATGGTTACAGTTCCCTCAGTATCCCATCTACAAATGGGTTGTAAGCATGGTTACCACTTGCGATCTCTGGTGATCCTCCAAGTCATGGCCTTCAGGCTGACCCCATTTTTCCATAGGTTACTTCAAAAATAGCAAGTTGTTGTTACTCCGAAACTGTGCGCCGAAGTTGGGCATGAATGGGATATGCTCATTTCACCATGATGAATGGGATTCCCCTTTCTATTCATGAGTATTTCATGGGTTATATTAGGTATTAATCACCATGAAAGTGGATCGATATGGTTCAATTGACATAATCACTGTACAAAGAAAAAAGTGAGAAAGTGGATTGATGACCATACCCCAGCAAGACCCATTCAACATAGAAACCGAACCCCTACTTATCATCACTACTGGATTAATTGGATGCGGAAAAATATAGATATTATATTTTCATTATTATTTCCTTATTTACTGTCTAATTAATATATATTTGTGTTTAATATCAAAATTTGAGCGGATTGCCCTATTGTCATTATTATTCATCGGTTCCAGCAAACCCCAAAGTTTGCAAAAAATGTGTTAAATTGAACCTGTTCTATCTTTCTTGAAATTACTGGTTTAGTCAATATTTAATATGGTGTATCACTGGATGTATCACCATTTTTCATTAAATTTGCCGTCTTGGAGATACACCCCGTTTTCAAATTGTCAAACAAACCAAACACTATCTGTTGGTTGTAAAATGTTGTAAATATCCCATTGCATCCGGAACATATCACTATTGAATCGATGATTTTTAGTGGTTAAACCACCATTTTGCATGGTAAAACTACCACCGTTTTTCAACATGTTCACGGTAAACCCATCATGAAATCCATGGTACAATTTAATTGCCCTCTTCCATCCCTCCCTGTTGGTCAAAGTAGCAGAGGCCCCCGTGATCATCACACCCTGGCAGGAAACCAGGAAGCGAGTTAACCATCAAAATATGGGCTTCCAAAATTGATGGTTTTCTGCATATTTTGTGGGCTTCAATGGGGTGAAAAAACCTGTTAACCATCCTATGAAACATAGGAAAAAACGATGGAAAGATCCACTAATTCCTTCAATGGGTAGATCAACTATTTCTATGGGCCATGGCTTCCATGTCGCGAACTCTAAGAAATTGCCATGTCGGGTAACCATCAAAATATGGGACTGTGATGGATTTCATGGGACCATCTACAGCAATTTACGAAAGGACTACAGGATGGTTATTTACCACAGTTATAAGTTGGTTTATAAACCATTACAACCGTCCTTAACTATAGAAATGATCATGTTATATCATGTTATATCTACCATAAACCATAGAATTCAGCCACTTTTTTCGGCCACTGAACGCCAGCTCGACTGGGGGCCCCTATCCTGGGCTACTTCCATGACTGGATGGAACCCTCCACTTCTTCACTTCGTCTTTGTCGTTCAGTTCACTTCTCCGGTGCTATTTTGGCTGCGTTTTCAGGCTTAAATAGCCATTTTGGGATATATCATTGCCAAATCTTAGATCCCAAACAGTGAAAAAACAAAACTTTGCTGGTGAGTAGACATTCCTATTTTTCAATCGCAAAAGATAACATATTGGATTTTTTAGTACCCATCCAGTTGGTTAATCCAGGTGTCATGATATATCCAGTGGTGGAACCGGTGGTTCCGGTGTGGCCCCGAGGCCTAGCAGCGACCTTTTTTTCCGAGTCGACGTTGGGGAGATCGCCGCTTCAGGAGTAAATCATATTACCCTCTGGTGAACTAACATAGCCATGGAAAATTACCATTTTTAATAGGTAAACCATCTATAAATGGGCCATCTATACCATGGCTATGTTAAATAACCAGATGGTAAATGATCATGAAATCATGATGATTTCCCCATTTTGAATAATCAGATGAATCCCAATTTTGAATAGTCAGAAAAATAATGAGATGATAAATATGATAATGATTTAAATCAGATTAATCCCAATTTTCCTGGACCATGGTTTTTTGCATGGTGGAGCACCCTGCCTGGCAAAGGCTCTCAACAAAGATCATCGATCGCACATCTCCTTTGTGGCCCTCCAGGACCTGGGTAAGGAAAGTGTTGACCCAGATTGGGATGGTACACTCCAAAAATCATGGGTGACTTGGTGCTTCATCCCACTTAGTTAGTAGCTTAGTTCACCCACGTTGCGAGTGAAACAACAGTAACCCAAAATCATGGCTTACCCCGGCTTACCCCACGAAAAAAACCATCCCCTTCTCCCCTTGATATTCAACACCACAATTCTATGGTTCCAGTTATATGTGCAAATCCACTACTATCCACGATGGTTTCTGGGGGAAATTAACCCAAAAACGGATCCCGAATCTCCTCGGAGATTTACGCTGGAAGTTTCCACCCAACAAAATCAACAGTGTAACCATCATGTTGTCCCTTTGAAAATAGCTAAATCCTTGCTATAATATACCTATTATAATATAACTCTTATATAATTATATATATATAGATAACTTAGATAACTACAATTGATAGTATATCTTTGAAAATAGCTATCTATAGTTGTCCCTTTGATAAATGTTAACTACCAGTAGTACCCGCACGAGGCGGGGCGGAAGTTGCCTTAAAGATATATATATGAGACCTTTCTCATCTATAGAACTTGCATGCGCCGTGCGCCAGCCAAGCCCGTGCGTGCGTGCACTCTGCGAAACTGGTGCCGTGTTGCACATGTCACATTTGAAGCTCCACGTCACACTTCACACTTGACAGTCTTCACACTTCACACTGCACCCTTCGCAATCAACACTTCACACTTCTCACTTCACACTGCACTCTCCCCAATCCACACTTCACAATATAAGACTTTTCCCAGGAATACAAAATTTACAGAAAGTATGTCCCAGTATTACCTTGGAGCACAAAGCTTACACAAAGCACTTCCCAGTACTACTTTGTACGACAAAGCTTGCAGAAAGTACTATACCAAAATTGCGAAAATCTGCTGACAAAGCACTATCGCAGCCTCGATGCAACCACTCCAATACGATTTGCGATGTTCAGCTGCAAAGGACAATAGTATTACGCATGCAGCCGCAGCACCGAGCAACCTTGACGCAGCCACTAGTCACTACAATGCGATCTGCAGACACTGAATTGCAAAACACACTAGAACTACGCGCAACAGTATCGGAAATTGCAGCTCCAAAACCGGATCTCTCGACGCCAAAGCAGAAAAAAGACGATTTTGAAGCACTTTTTAAAAGGATTTTTAAAAGGAAAATTACTACCGTGAAAACTGCGAAAAAAGCAGAAAAATCACGATTTTGAAGCAGCCTTTGCAGCCACTTAAAATACGATTAAAAGATGAAAATTACTACCAATAGTGCGAAAATCTACTCGCAAATCACTATCGCAGCCTGGATGCAGCCACTCCAATACGATTTACGATGTTCAGCTGCAAAGGACAATAGTATTACGCATGCAGCCGCAGCACCGAGCAACCTTGACGCAGCCACGACTCACTACAATGCGATCTGCAGACACTGAATTGCAAAACACACTAGAACTACGCGCAACAGTATCGGAAATTGCAGCTCCAAAACCGGATCTCGACGCCAAAGCAGAAAAAAGACGATTTTGAAGCACTTTCTAAAAGGATTTTTAAAAGGAAAATTTCTACCGTGAAAACTGCGAAAATCTACTCGCAAATCACTATCGCAGCCTGGATGCAGCCACTCCAATACGATTTACGATGTTCAGCTGCAAAGGACAATAGTAGTACGCATGCAGCCGCGGCACCGAGCAACCTTGACGCAGCCACTACAATGCGATCTGCAGAGACTGATCGAGTTGCAAAACACAATATAACTACGCGCAACAGCATCGGAAATTGCAGCTCCAAAACCGGATCTCGACACCAAAGCAGAAAAAAGACGATTTTGAAGCACTGTTGAAAAGGATTTTTAAAAGGAAAATTACTACCGTGAAAATTGCGACAATCTACTCGCAAATCACTATCGCAGCCTGGATGCAGCCACTCCAATACGATTTACGATGTTCAGCTGCAAAAGACAATAGTATTACGCATGCAGCCGCGGCACCGAGCAACGTTGAGCACACAAGGTGTCGTGCTCCGTGATTCAAATTTGCGACAATCTACTCGCAACATCACTATCGCGCATCGTCGCCTGCAGCCATTTTACACGGAAAAACACAAGGTTTCGTGCTCCGGCTTCCTCCCCAAAACATAGACCATGCAACATTCATGCAGCCATTACAATGCGATCTGCAACCACAGCTTCAGGAAACGCATAGAACGACACCACAGGAACAACCACTCGTTGCAAAACACATAGAAGGAACCAATCGCGTCCGGAACGACCGCAGCCGCACCCGTCGCACACACGAGGTACCTTTCATCGTCGCCTGCAGCCACTTTACACGGAAAAACACAAGGTTTCGTGCTCCGGCTTCCTCCCCAAAACATAGACCATGCAACATGCATGCAGCCATTACAATGCGATCTGCAACTACAGCTTCAGGAAACGCATAGAACGACACCACAGGAACAACCACTTGTTGCAAAACACATAGAAGGAACCAATCGCGTCCGGAACGACCGCAGCCGCACCCGTCGCACACACGAGGTACCTTTCATCGTCGCCTGCAGCCACTTTACACGGAAAAACACAAGGTTTCGTGCTCCGGCTTCCTCCCCAAAACATATCCACTTCCCATCGTCACCACTTCCCTTCGTCACCACTTCCCTTCGTCACCACTCCCCTTCATCATCACTTCCCTTCTTCACCGCTTCCCTTCGTCACCACTTCCCTTCTTCACCACTTCCCTTCCTCTCCACTTCCCTTCGTCACCACTCCCCTTCATCATCACTTCCTCAAGGTCAATTTCATAGCTTCTTATTCTTTTGTTATGTATTGGTACATTATGTATTGTTATATTATGTATTGTTATATGATCTACCACCCTTCCTCAAGGTCAATTTCATTGCTTCTTATTGGTTTGTCATGTATTGGTACATTATGTATTGTTACAGGATCTACCACCCTTCATCATAGTCAATTGCACCAAGTAAAAAGTCATTCGTAACTCGGAAATTGCTTCCCAACTTCCTTTGATAATATAATGTTGTCCCATATCTGGGGGGTTTAATGGTTCACTCCTCCACTTTTCAGACACCATGATATGTGCCATGGTCAAGCTCCACAAAGGGATACCAATACCGGATACATCCCGATGGTTGATCGTCGCCCCAAGCTTTGACAAAGCTAAACGTCTGAAACAGGGTCGGTTCCAACCAAAAATTGCTAACAAGCTGGATTGCGGAAGACTACAATCTTAAACCCCTGGGACCTGAGTGCGTTGCCAAAAGGCGGTTTCGCATTCCAACAGACTGTCGAGCGTTTCGTGGTAGTCTTCAGGTCGGTACATCTCACCTATGATGGGTAAATTCTCATATTTCACGAACCTGAATAGTTCGGCCAGCCATGGGGATGATTTCCCTCAACCATGATTCCAGGGTTCGGTCGAACAGTGAGGTCGTTATAATTTACACAGATTTATGGTCGCAGAACCACCATCGAAACACAAATTGTGGGCTTCGGTCGATCAGATGAGCATTCCAGTTGGACATTGTTAACGAATTCTTCAACCAGGAAAATCAACTACAAGCTGGTGCCCCAGTGAGCGATTCATCGCTAAGTTGGTGCGTTCACTCCAACTTCACGATGGTGTATAGTCGACATATGGGGATGGGTCAAAACCCTGGTACCCCTGGTGAACATCAAAATAGCTGGTAAATGGATGTTCATCCCCCTAAAAATGGTATCTATAGGTATTGACCCATACCCATATTGACATACTTACCATGGTTGTAAACCAACGTTCACATCACGTTGGGGGCACCGCCTCGCATGGTCCTCAGCCTGAATCGTCCTGAATCGGACTATGACAAACTCATATGGAGCTTTCCTAAAATGGGGTTGCCCCCCAAATTATCCATGTTAATAGAGTGTTCCGTAAAAAAAAACAACCATTTTAGGGATCCTCCATGTATGGAAACCCCAAAAAATACATCCGATTCTCATGATTTACGGCCAAGTGTTTCTTGCCGTGGCACGCGAGGTTTACTCTCTTTGGCCCTGCGATCCCCACCATTTCCTAAGATCAGCGGGTAATTTGTCGCTGGTGCTCCATCTTGTCGAAAAAAATCACGACTCAGTCTGGTTGGTGGTTTTAACATGTTTTAACCATCTTGAAAAATGTGAAAGTCAATGTGAAGGATGACATCCCATATATGAAATGGAAAATAATCCAAATGTTTGAAACCACCAACCAGCAGTCATTTGGGCTGAAGAAGATTTAGATCCCACTTTTAGGGTTGAAGATTGTAGAAAAAACGGTTGAAAACATGGAACATCACGGAAGAGAAAACATGCAATGGGATGATAGAAGTATGGACAATGCATATCATCATGTGGGTCTTGATAGGAGTATGTTCTTGTATTTAGATACACCACCATCAACCCGTTTTGGATAGTATCCATAGTGTCCTTGTATGGACAGGTATGATATCTGAATGTTTGCCTACATCAGTGAGTGGTTTGTGTGACAACTGTAGGATTCTTCAGGAGACACAAACACCATAGATGGTAAGGGAAATAGAACAGGATTGTCCAAGTCTGAAAGCCGCAGACTTGGTCACTTTTGCAAACGTAGGGATAACGTAAGCGTATCCTTATCAACATTGGTGGCCATGTTCCAGTAGACCATCTCCGCTGGGTGTTTCCTGGTTCCAACCCGACTTCCAGTCCCAGTGTCGATCGATGGATTCCCAGACCAGGATTTTGCCGTCACCTGCGGCATCTTTTCCGATGCTGCAGAGGAAAAGACTTCGGCATAGTAACTTCGTCAAGTTCGGATTATTCATCCACCAGGAATCAATCAACCCCCACAAAGGAAACATGTTTTGGCAAGACTAAGATGGGGGTTTCTTAATCCAGACTTGCCATTAATAATTTATATAAATCACCCAGCCATCTGGCCATCATTTGGATGCTGAAGGCATCCAAATCAGCTAAAACTGACCAACATCTTTGAGTTCGAGGGTATTGAAGACCTATCCAATCATATTTGGTTACCAGTCCTCTTTCGGTTGGCTTCAATTAATCAAGATTCATTGCTGTTTGATTCGATTGCCCTATGGTGATCAAACAGTTAAATCATTTCCCAGCCAGCCATCTTTGATGACGGGAGGGGGATCTCTAGCAAAGACTTGGCAAACCATAGAAATGAAGGATACGAAACCCCAGTCGTAGCAAGATATCCCTCCATTCGCCAGGACAATTCCTGCTGTTCCTCAGTGGTTAGGACTCCGGACTATCTCCAGGAGCCAAAAAAACGAACACGGAGTCGCTTTTGAGCGAGATTCCGAGCGCTATGATTTATGTCAACCATCAACCATGGATACCCTCTGGTAAACTAACATATCATCATATCTATGGAAAATCACTATTTTTAATGGGTAAATCCACTATAAATGGCCATGTTCAATAGCTTTTTGTATGTTTACCAGAGGGTATATGGTCGCACCCATCCCAACCATCCCAACCATCTCCCCATGGTCCCCGTCCCAGTGGCTGAGCCCCGCAAAGAGCAGCCCCCTTTGTGGCAGCACCATGCAGCAGCTCGCAGAGACTCCATGCACTGAGCGCCTGCGATGACACATTCAGGGCCGATGTTTCAGCAGAAACCTGGGGAGAGTTGATGGTCTTTTTGGCCGATAGCACCCAAGAGTCACTAAGTCAATGGGAATTTCAGGATCCTAAATTATTATACCCAAGACTGAGATGGCCAGTGACTAAATTATTATACCCAGCAGCGCCGCTCACCGCTCCCACCACTGGAGAGTTTTACCAACTGATTGGCGGTTGAGCCAACGATTTTATGACTCAGGACAAGATCATGGATAAAATGGGGATGGGTCAAAACCTTGTACCCCTGGTGAACATAAAAATAGCTGGTAAATGGATGTTCATCCCACTAAAAATGGTATCTATAGGTATTGATTCATAGCCAAATCGAGACTGTGTGATGCAAGAAAAATATGGTGATGTCCTGATCTGCTTTGCAAAATATGTTGTTTTGTTGCGGAGCGCGAGACAATGAAATGCAAAGCAAGAGATGAAGATGGGGGGTTTCCTGAAATCACCATATGGGGGTTTCCTGAAAAGGGGGTACCTCAAAACCATGGGTTTCAATACTAAGGATGATTTGGGGAACCCCTATTTTAGGACACCCCCAAATGTTTGATAGCTAAATTAACGAACTCAATGGCCATGTTCAATAGCAGATCCCCTAGAAATCAACTCCAGAAACCCCAGCTTTCGCCCAACTCACCCGCCTTGTCCGCTGCGAAGAAAGTGGTGAGGCATAGCTACAAACCTTGGAAAATCCCTAGTGTAAACCATGGCTTTTCCCCATCAAATATAGTAAGCCCCACAGGTAGACAAGTAAAATCCCAGCAAAATTGAACCTGTTCGGCATCTTTTGGGGTTACGAAATCTTCAAACCGTTGAGAAGTTGCCTCCATGAGGAACCATGTCCCGGCCCTTCGGATCGACTTGGAGTCGCAGTCCTCTTGGGAAGTTGAGAAAATCCCTTTGAATATCTTATCAGTTTGTTAACTAGAGTTTATGGTGATTCTACAGTAACATACAGTAACTATATATATAGAGAAAAAACTTAGGTCTTAGCCTCCTGTAAGCCAACATACATGTGAAGAACCCGCTATTTGTAGATGATTTTGTTCCCAGTGAAACCAATGGCTTTCCACATCAATGTTAGTTTACCCTAGGGTATCAGTTTACCTTCACTCAACACTGAGGAACCCACAAATATTTCGCGAGTTTGCGGAAATGTAGGATTAAATATAAAGTTACTGGGCTCGAAGTTCGAACAAATTATATTTAATTATGCAACACCCAGTTGGGTCATTTATACCAACGAGAGATTAGAATGACAAGCATCAGCCACTGTCCAAATAGTCTCAAAGACTGCTGCACTACTATCTTGAGATTATCAACGGGAGCGTGAAATTTCCTGAACAAATCCGGGGATGAATTTAAACGCTGTGGACTATGAGACACACTCGAATCACAAATGATCGGCAGTGGCATGCAAAATGTCACACTGCTTTCATGTTCTAACCTTCTCATCCTGAGTACTTGAAAAATCATAAAATCCTTGGTCTGGTTGGTGGTTTCAATCCCTCTGAAAAATATTAGTCAGTTGGGATGATTATCCCATATATTATGGAAAATAAAAAATGTTCCAAACCACCAACCAGTTGGTGGGTTGTCATAATCCTCCATTTTCGAATGGATCCTAATTCACCCAACCGCCGAGCCGAAAAAAAAAACGGACGTTGCGTCCCAGCCACAGGTCGAAACTCAATGGAGGTCATTGCTTCACCATCGCGCCGGTCCGGGGCCGATGTTCAGCCCCAACATCTCAAGGGTTGAGAGTTCAATGGCGAGGTCCAACTGAATATATATATATATATATACATATATATATATATATACATATATATATATACATGTGTATATATATATATACATATATATATATATTTACATATATATATATATATAAACCAATTTGAAGTCCAATAAGTCGAATACACATATTTTTTCGGCAAGAATCATCAGTGTTGGAAAAAAAAATAAAAAAACATGAAAATCAGCAAAAGAAAGTCCTTTTGTCAAAATTGTCAGGAGCTCAGCCAACTACCAAAAAAGGTTGGTGGAAAGCCAGGGAAGTTTAGGGCAGCTGCTGGGAAAACAAACGGCTCTAAACTCTAAAAAAAAGAACTTTGGACCGAGAAGTCCCGCTAAATACATCAGGAAAAAGCGCAATTTGGGTGTGTCTGAAAATAGGGTATAGCCCCAATTCTAGCTATTTTAAGAGGGAAATTTTGAGGTTTCATGGATGGAATGGGGTAGCCGATTTTCAGACAGCCAGCCATTTCAATCTACAGTGGCTGCACTGGCAGGTCATCCAGCTTCCATTGAGCCATCCAGCTTTCTGCATCGTCTGCATCGTTGCGGTTCGGGTGAAGGTCAACAGATTTCTTACATAGTCTGGTTGTATTCACAATGTCTACAAGTCGGGGTAGGCTGAAAACACACGCCCAACAAAAACCACTTCCGTCGCCACCCAGGTATGGCAGGTGTTCAACCCAACAGAGAACTATGACAATGGGAATCATCATCCTCAATGGAGCTGAAAAAAAACACATACCCTCTGGTGATTTAACATAGCTATGGAAGCCATGGCCCATAGAAACAGATGATAAACTCCCAGCTATAAACCTGTTTCACCTCCATGTTTCATGGATTTTCCACTTCGCAAACTGTTTGTTTCACAGTCATAACCAGATGGGACCTGGCTCCTACTCATCGCCAATGGGATTCAATGGATTCATGGCAACAAACCACCAGGATTCGCTAAAAAGATACCGTTGCCTGTTGGAGACCTGAGAATACCTGACTTGACCAAGAAAGACGATAACTGTGGAAGTCACATAGTGAATCTGCCCACTGAAATCATATGGTTACATATATATTTTTCACATCTGCCCCACTGAATTCTCATTGTTTTATCCTTGTTCAATCTTTTTCATACTGTTTTTTTTAACAACCAAACCCTTCAAAGCGGGCCAGTTTTGGATACGATCGCCCTGGAGAGGATCCGCATCTTTTGTCACCGCCATTCTTCGACAATCTCTGGCCATGGCCCTGGTGGTGTCTCCGTTTAAAACGGCGCTAGTCAGCTTTGGTCTCCTGCAGCGAAGTCTAAGAAGTCTGGTTATATCATAATAAATAACAACAATATGTAAGAATAGTAACAATAATAATTATATAATAGTATATGATACTATAATTATATAATAAAATAGTAATATACATATATATATAATGCTATGATGAGTATATTAATATATCATACGTCATGTTTATAATTTATAATGGACTCCGAAGCCCCAACCTATTTCAGTACTTCACACCATAATAGTGATAATGTATTGTGGTGTTGTGTATGGTGATACAGAATGATATATAATGGTATTAGAATGGGGTCAATTTCCATGCCCATAATGCCATGGTCAAAACTTGGTGTTTTGGGGGTCCATCATAGTGGGAATCCTGAGAAAAAATGAGTATATAAATACCTATGAATGGATTGATGACCATCATCATTTATGGAAAAAAGGAACCCTGTTTAGGCCATGGCACATATGCTCCATGGTGCTGGAACAGTTACCCACATGTGGGTCATTTTGGGGGTACATGTTGGTTTTAAAAATCAATACATGGAGCATTGGGGATTCAGGATGAAGATCCAGCTATTATTCTGTGTGACTGGGTAGGTTTAAAAAAAAGGGGGTTGTCTCAGCCTAAGCCACAGTGACTTGGAACATCACTAGACCACGTCAAAATGCCTAATGTTTTGGGAAATGGCTCAATTTATTTGGAACTGCTTTTCATCATTTTCTGAAGAATGATGTGTATGTATGAATGGATGTATGTGTGTATGTGTGTATGAATGTGTGTATGTGTGTATGTGTGTCTGTGTATGTGTGTGTATGTGTATGTGTATGTGTGTGTATGTGTATGTGTATGTGTATGTGTGTATGTGTGTATGTGTATGTGTATGTAATGTAATGCAATATAATGTAATGCAATGCAATGTAATTGTATGAATGCAATGCAATGCAATGTAATGTAATGGTATGGTATGGTATGTATGTATATGGTCACCATCCCCACCAGGGCCTACCTTGAGCTTTTGTATGTGTATATGTATATATATATAGAGAGAGAGAGATAAACAGACAGATAGATAGATGGATGGATAGATAATCAGTAATTAGATAGATAGATAGATAGGTAGGTAGGTAGATAGATAGATAGATAGGATAAGTAAGATAGATAGATAGATAGATAGATAGATATATAGATAGATTAGGTAGATTAGATAGGATAAGATAGGATTTTTTGTCAAGCGAAATGCAGTCCAAGCAGCGGCTGTATGAACTACACGTCAGCAGTGTTCGAGTGAACTATCAAATTCCCCGGAAAAACAATTTGATCCCATTCGTCGCGGTCCATTGCTATTGGGGAGAGCGTGTTCCAGATCGCCGTAGTATCATACCAGTCTGCAAGGGAAGGTCCAAAATATATGTGAACCATGGACTGAGTGCCTGTGGCATACATTGGATGGGAAATTTCTTGGGTGGTGGGATGCTGATTTCTTCTAAGTTGTTCAGAACGATGAAAAGCTTCTGAGAGAGCAATTTCAGGCCAATGCGCCCGAGGTCTACCAAGACGAAATGGAGAAGAGAGGCGGCGGAGGGCGTGGGAGGTATGGAAGATTATCCTATGCTCTAAGGCTTCAAAATGCCGAAGAATATGACCGAGGTAACGCAATCGCTGGACAGAAATACGCTGACTGGGTATCAGGAGACGGGGGGCATGACGGTAGGCAAGGGACAGCAAGTATTCATTGGAACAGTCCTCCTGAGAGGGGTGAAGGACCCGATGGTAATAAGAGCTTTTAACTTGAAAGATTTGTCGCAGAACTTTATAGTGAAGAGAATTGAACCTTGTGATCTGCGCAGGGGTGAAAACTTGAGATTCACAGCCATAAAGTAAAATGGCAAGCACAATTTGCGCATACACCTGCAATTTACGGCGCGAAGGGAGGGACGGATTAGTGAAGACGGGAAAGAGGCAGCGAAACGCGCCCATCGCTTGAGAGTAGCGATAATTGCAGTCCGGTGCAGAAGATGCATTTGCAGCTACGTAGGCCCCAAGATATTTGGCTGAGTGCAGGGGTGGGATTTGAACACCGAGATCATCTGTTCCCATGCAATGTAGGCAGGAGCAAGGGGAAAGTGGGGTGACATGAGGTGAGAGATGAATGGAGAGATTGGAATGGAGGCGCAGAAGTTGGCATTTATCGGGGTTGAGAAGCAAGCCGCGCTTGCTAGCTTCATGCTGGAGACTGTGAAGGAGGCGGTGTAATGTAAGCTGGGTGCGGGAAACTAGAACTGTGTCGTCAGCATACTCAACATCAGTCATGGGAGAACGAGAAGAGAAGGTCCACGGGGTGAAGTGGAACCGGGTTTCGAAGGAGAATTGGACATCATGCATTAAAACCGTCAGGACTATGATAAACAGATATGGGCTGAGAGGGCATCCCTGGCGGATCCCACGTGAAAGGGAGTACGTGGCGGAGACATAAGAAGAGGAGGAGACAAAAAATTTGCTGTCAACATAGAGTGCTGCTATAGCATGCACAAAAGGGAGAGGCACGCCAATACGGACAAGGGAAGCAGCCAAGTGCTCGTGGCTAACACTGTCAAAAGCCTGAGACCAGTCCAGGAAGAGAATATACAAGGATGTGGTATGACGCTCAAACAGTTCGACCATTCGACGGATCAGGAAGAGAGGTGCACTTGTGGATCGGCGAGCTCGAAAGCCATATTGGAAGTCGCTGATGCGGTGATCGAAGTGGAGAGCCAGCCTGCTTTGGAGCAAAGCAGCATAAACTTTGTAAATAGAGTTCGCCAAGCTTATTGGCCGATATGAAGAGGGCAAACGGCTGTTCTTTGACCCGCCTTTGAAGATCATAACCACCCTTGCCAATTTCCAATGGTCTGGAGCTGAAGCAGACAGGAAGCAGGAATTGAAATACTCGAGCAGAAGGCGGCGCATTGCAAACGGGAGAAGCTTGTACAAGTCAGCACCAACGCGGTCAGGGCCAGGCGCCTTGCGCGATTTTAACCGTCGGAGTGCTATGTGTAAGTCGGTCATTGTGAAGGTTGTGAAAGCTTCAAAGACGCAAGGGTAAATGGGAGTCTGGGAGGGAGGGGGACTTAAGGCAGGTTTCCATACTTCATCTCGGAGATGTTGGGCCAATACTTCGGCCTTTTCTGTGGCGGTAGATGGGCGCCCTGAGGGCCAAGACACTGATTGAGTTTGCGGCTGGTACTTGGATCGGACCCGTTTGATTGTTTTCCATCGGTCAGCTGGCGAGGCCCTGTGGTCAACTTCCAGCTGGCGTAGAGTCCAGCGTTTGCGGTCTCGCCGTGCATGTGAGCGAATACGCCGGCGCAAGGTCTCCAGATCAGAGGATGATAAATCTAAAGAGTTGAGTGCTGCAATCTCCTCATGAGTGGCAGGAGAAAGGTAAGGTTTGCGGACGACAGCCGGTTTTCTTGAGAGTGCAGCAGCGGCTGCTCGCGATAGGGATGAGACCAAGTGTTCTGTTTGCTGATCCAAAGTGAGGGAAGTAAACCAAGTCAGGAGGGGATTTGGTAAGGAAGGAGGGGAAGTTGGAGGGAAGGATGAGTAGCGGCCCAAGAACGAGGAGGAATGGACCCCGCGCGCGGCTAAA